ATTTTCGCTCCATGATACAAAAGTAGTTTAATGTCCATGTTAAACGTGTTCAATCGGACAATGGGTCCAAATTGCTTTCTAGATCAATGCAAGACTATCTTCTCACTCATGGGATCACACATCAGTGATCTTGTGTTGATACCCCTCAACAAAACGGAGTAGTTGAACGCAAGCATCGCCATATTCTTGAAGTAGCACGAGCTCTAAGATTTCAAGCTAGCCTACCAATATGCTTTTGGGATGAATGTGTCTTGATAGTGATGCATATAATAAATTATCTACCTACACCATTGTTAAATGGTAAAACACCCTTTGAATCATTGTTCCATAAACCACCAACTTACAAACATTTTTGACTATTTAGATGTCTCTACTACACCAGCACTCTCAAACATGGTCGAGACAAGTTTTCACCATGTTCTGCTTCATGTATTTTTGTTGGATATCCATCTAGACATAAGGGATGTCCTCTGTTTGATCTTAATTCCCACCAAATCTTTGTATCTCGGGATGTGGTGTTCTTCGAAGACAAATTTCCTTTTGCCAACATACCATTCATGGGTGGCATTATGCAAGATGTCCGTGGTGTTGATAGCTTACTAGTGCCCCCTCTTCCTGCTCTAGATGATGGCTTCACTATGAACATAGAACCAGTAATGCCCACAACACTACCAACAAATGTAGAAGATGTTAACAATTCCACACTCAATGGTAATCTGGAGCTCATATCACATGTTGACACTCCATCAAATACTCAAAACTAGCATCCATTTCACTACATGACCCATCGAATCCATTGCTTGGACCTCCCTTATAGACCATTAGACAACGCCCCACTTGCACAAGAAGACTACCACCACACTTAGCTGACTTCCATTGTCCCTCAATTAACCACATCTTAGAGCCCACCACTCTGAACTCTCATCCCTTATTTACTACCCACCCCATTTATGATTGCATCACCATGAACCCCCCATCAACCTTCACCACAACTCTCTTGGACTCACCTACTGAATTCACTACCTACCATTAGACCTATTCATGGGTTAGGCCGGGCTTTTACTCTTCATTAATGAAAATTTGTTAGGCCCGAGCCTGAAGCCGGCCTGACCAACGGGCCTATAACTTGGGCCCGAGCCCGGCCCTAATAAAAAGCCCGAAGCCCGATTGTATTCGCCAATGAATGTGTTCGTCGGAACTGTGTTCGCAGTTACTGTGGTTTGTGAGCTACGACCTGCGATTTTAAGTTTAACAGTGATCAGTTTGCGTCTGATAAAGAGAGAGAGAGAGAGAGAGAGGGAGAGAACTCGCCGTCGCCAGTGTCTGAGATTTGAGAAGAGGAATGAGAGAGTCAGAGAGAGAAAGAAAGAGAGAGAGAGAGAGAGAGAGAGAGAAGGAGAGGAGTGAGGACTCACCTTCGGAGTTGTTGCGCCGGTGAACGTTTGCCACCTCACCGGTTGTGTGGCTGCCTAAGAGTGTGAGGATGAGAACTGTGGAGGATGTGGAGAAGAATGGTTCGAATGGAAAAAGAAAGGAAAGAGGCAAAGAGGTGAAAAAAAGAGGGGGTCTTCAACTAGGGTTTTTAGGTTTAGTTATAGGTCGGGCCGGGCCGGGCTATTTTGGCAAATCCCGAGCCCGGCTCGAATTTATTGCAGGTTGGGCTTTTTGGCCCGAGGTTAAGCCCGTAGGCCCATATGCGTGTTCAAGCCCGTCCGGGGGCCAGGTGGCCCGACGAACAGGTCTACCTACCATCAAGCCAAACAATTTGACTATTGGCGCAAGGCCATGACTGTTGAACTTGCAACCTTGGAATGAACACACGCTTGGACCATGACCTTTCTACCCTTGGGAAAAGTTCCCATTGGCTATCGATGGGTATACAAAGTTAGAGAAACTCCGGTGGTTCTGTTGAGCGCCATAAAATGCACTTAGTAGCTAAGTTATACACAAAAATGGTTGGAGTTGACTATAATGAAACCTTTGCACCTATAGCCAAGCTCGCTACTATGCAGTGTTTGTTGGCATTGGCCATTGCCTAGTACTGGAAACTCCATCAAATGGATGTAGACAATGCATTCTTTCACGAAAAGTTACATGAGGAAGTTTACATGGTACCTCCCCTGGTTTGCTCTTAGATGGTGACGCTCAAGTTTAGAACCTTAATAAACCCACTTATAGTCTCAAACAAGCTTCTCACAACTGGTTTGTGACCCTTGCACAAGCATTCAAGCAACGAGGATTCATTCAATTATCTATTGATCATTCCCTCTTCACATGTATTCAACCTGGAAACTCTCTAGCTGTTCTTGCCTTTGTGGATGATTTGGTCATTGGCAGGAACGACTCCTCACGTATTATTGCTCTCAAAGCTTATCTCCTTCATTGCTTTCCCATCAAGGATCTTGGTCCTTTATGACATTTTCTAGGAATTAAAGTCTCTTGTAGTGATGACATCTTCTTGAGTCAATGAATATACATTTTGGACATACTTAAGGACTACAGTATATTGGGGTGTAGGCCTAGTTCCTTCCCTCTAATAACAACAACATCACCTCAAGGCAGATGATGGGCCACCAATTGACAACCCAAACTAGTACATAAGACTCATTGGGTATCTCATATACTTAACAATTACTCATCTCAATATCACATATGGTATCCACATCTTAAGTCAATTCATGGGGGACCCACTTCAACAACACTGGGATACTACTATAACCTACTTTTTACCACTTGTGATTTCTAGTTGAGGGCTTATTGTAACTCCAATTGGGTTGGATGTCCCCCTATAAGAAAATCCACATTTGGTTACTCTACTACTCTTGGTTCTTCTCCGTTATCCTAGAAGACCAAGAAGCAGTCTATTGTTGCTCATTCTCAGCTGAAACCGAATACCATGGTATGGCAACCACCACTGCAGAATTGTTATGGCTCAAATGTCTCTTCACTGACCTTGGGCTTCTTTGCCCCCAACTTATACACTTATTTTGTGATAACAAGGCTACACTCCACATAGCTACCAACCTAGTGTTTCATGAACAGACAGAGCATATCGAGATAGACTGCCATTTCATCCATGAGAAATTACTTTCCAAGACAATTGCCACAACACATATCTTTTTGGTAGTACAACCAACTGATATATTTACTAAGGCTCTTGGTCGTGATTGCTTCCTCTCCTTAATTCCCAAGTTGGGCATTCATCACCTCCATGCTCCAACATGAGAGAGTGTATTACAGATAATTGAAATCAATTAGACTATTGCACCTATACATCCACATGTACAATGTACAGCTGTCTTGTACAAGTGAATTAAATCAGCTAGGCTCTACCTCCCTATATCTATAAATTCATACATTTCTTATATAAATTGTCAAGGGAGTTGTGAGTTTCTTTGGCTGAATTTGAAATTGGATAGATTAACTATGATTGAAATTTAAATTGCATGGAAGCATCTATTGTCATTCAGTGAAGAGCTCCTGTCATTGTATATCTTGTTTGTGCTTGCTTTGTACTAAGAAATGCTTAAAACCTATTTTTTAAGAAGCTGAGGAAGCTTCAGCCCATTTCAAAAAGTATATACAGGAAGTTAGTTCTTTTAACCCCGGCTTTATGATAACAAACAGTGGTCCTTTATCGAATACTAGCGTTCTGCTATAAAAGTCGTAGAAGATAGCAACCTAACATGCACGAATTATAACCTTGCTTTTGAAGATGGGTTTATTTGTAAGGAAATAGAAGAAATCTGGGGAAAATGTCTTTGTTCTTCGATTTATAGTGATGCTAACAATAGAAAATCAAGTGACTCCAGTTTCTTACTTATCAAAAAGTAAGAAACTGGATTCACTTCCATGGCATCAACAATGAAAAGCTTAACAAAATGCGCTACAAGTATTAATTCCCTTACCAGATGTGAAAGACATGGCTTCAGAATGGGCACAGAATGTTGGTAGAATATGTCAGTATGGGCACATTAGTTGACACGGACAGAGGAAGTGGAGAACCCAAAATAGAATATGCGTTATCTGAAGGAATGTATGTATTGGCTATTTGGCTACGACTATTGGTTCATGCGACCCAAAAATGAAAAATTCCTGCCCCTTCCTTTTCCACTTCTTCTGTTCTTCACGCATCCTCTCGTCTTCAAATTTCATTGTTTCCTTTCAACTTGTCACAGTCGATATCAACTCTGCCTCCCACCTTCCAAAGTGGCATGGTACATCTCCGTGTATTGGGAACATCTCCCGATGATAATACCACTCCTAATGATGTCATCATTGGAAGATGTGCTCAATACAAGGCATGGATGTGCTGTGGAACGTTGTGGGGCAGAGATGTGTACTCGCAAAATGGCAGCTATGTTTAATAGATTCACAATTTCACATTAGACAAACCAGCTTCAAACACAAGATAAAACTTTTCTTTCTTCCCCAAACAAGGAATGGAAGACTGGTATAACAAAACTTAAGTCTTTCCTTGGGTCCTCCATTGCTTGTTGGGCGAAATTACACAGCCCTACATACCCTCCAAGAGAGAGAGAGATCAGGTAATCTGAGATTGAATGACGACATTGACCACCTTTGAGATGAATCTGATTCATTCTACCAGTAGTGAAAAATAATTGGGATTTTGGACTGTAGTTTTCTTGAGGAACCACTTCATGTTACAAGGAATAAGTGTATATATTCTCACTAAATACTCTTTTCATTGGTTTCATTTTCAAAAACCCCACCCCACTCCCTTCTGTCGCTTCTGATCTTTTTCCCTTGCTAATTTGGTATTTGCATGAATTCAGAATGCACCATCTTTGGCTCCAACTCGTGCTTCTCGTTTCATTTCAATGTCTGCTTAATGAACAGGCAAAGAACAGGACTGAGAATAGTGCTGGAAGGGGACAATGGTGTTTTTTTCTCCCACATCAATGACTACTTCCAAGGTCTAAAAACGGGTTTCAAATTTTAATGTGTACAGCACGCATACAGCCATTTATCATTGAAAGTAACCTTAAAGATTTTCTTCCTTGAATTTTTTATATTTCTTCCGATTCCAACTTTCAAGCAAAAGAACGCCCTATTCTCTGTGAACAGTTTTACTTGGTCTCAGAGAGTTAAAAAAAGGAAAACAACGAAATACCCACAGATTGAAGCAACTTCCAGCATCTGAAAGAAAAAGGAGAAGTAAACAAATGAAATTTTTATTGCAGCTCTGGAAAAAAAATAGTGAGGGATGAACGTGTATCCTTACAAGCAGGAGGCTTGAATTTGCACATTACAAGAGGCTTGTAATTTGGAGGAACCTGGTTGAATGACCTCACTCAGGAGGCTTGGTCTTCATGCTGTTTTTGGCCGAGTCTGAGATTACAACGAGACAGCATCAAAATTTGGCCGAGTAATTTGCACATTACATGAAGTTTACCACAATAAAGAATTGCCTTCTAACTTCTTGGAAATTCAGAAACACCTATCACTGTACAGAATCAACAATCTCAAGTCCTCCAGCTATTTTGGCTGAAAAAATCTGAACTGTAATCTTGACTACCAAAAGCCATCCTCCGAAACATTCTTAATTCTCTGGACTGTTCTCTAGAGTCAAAGATTTCACTTTGGCCTGGTTTCATTCCATTACTAAGATCTGATGGGTCCCCTATACTGTCAAGAGTTCTCACCACCTGAGAAACAAATTAAAGCCTTAACCATTTTAATTTTAAGTGTCAACCCCACATGCTTGAGAAAAACCAGGAGAAACAGGAAAATAAAGTAACTAAAGGTTTCAGTCAACTGAATAAATGATAATTCATCACCTGGCTCATTCGAGGTCTCTTTGCTGCTGAATGACGCACACATGCTGCAGCTGCTTCAATCATCCTGAACATTTCACTTTCCACATAGTTCTTTTCAAGCCTTGGATCTACCAACTCTTCAAATTCTTCATTATCAAGTGCATGTGTAAGCAAAGGTCGAGCCTGAGAAATAAGTAGGCAGTTTGGTTACCACTACTTCCATCGCTTTCATGATGCAACATCCTAGTGCTTTGCAGCATTACAAAGTTTTAAGCTCCTATACCAAAGACGAACTGACCAGATGTGATTTAGAGCCACATCAAAGAAATGAATAAGAAAAAAATTAAGAGGTCAAGCCTCAATATGGGTTTGAAGCCAGTTTATAATGACACCCAACTCAGGAAGCTATTGTTTACATGTATCATCAAGGTGCTATAGCTTCTTGAAATGGTCTTTTGGGACTACTGCTGCTTTTGATTTATACTACTGAAGAGTTGGGTATTCTATCTTGGAGTATGATGGCATATTGGCATCGTTTCATTATCCACTGTCTCCAGTTATTTCCCCTTTTCCAATCTCATCAGTTTTTTCTTTTCCTAGTAGATATATATTAAAGCCTTCTTAGTCAGTTTTCAGGATGCCTTTCCAGTTCCATGTAGTTGTCTTGATCTAGGTTTTATCTTAATTTGTGTCCCATGTATCAATGTGCAGTTCTCCATGAGGTAATAATTTCTTAGCTCACACAGGAGCAAAATATCATAGGTAAAACAGAGGGTTACGTGCATGCTGCAACAAGAAATTTAAGATGGCAAAATACCCTACATAGACAAAACAACTTTTTCTTAAAAAGGTATTGTGTTATGAACAAAAAGTGAGATTGCAATCCTATGCCATGTACATCCATTCCATGATAGGACTATACAGAATTTCTGTTAGCAAAAAATTAACAAGAAAACAATATTTTCCCTTTTCAAAAAAATAATTGGAGGATTCTTTTTTTTGTGGTTTTCTGATTGGAAATTGATAATACTTTTATATAGTGGTTGGGTGTCTATTGAATGGTGAAAAAGTACTTGGGTACTGGTCAAAAAAGAAAGAAAGAAAGAAAGAAATAAGAAATAAAAGAAAAATCTGCATGGGCCTATGGAAATGAAATTAAGTTTAGATGGCTGACAAGGAGTATGCAAGTAAAAGTCAAGTGGGTACCTAGATTGGCTAATTGTATGATTGATGCCCTAGGCAAACAAGGAATGATTAGGAATCAGTTTTTCCTTTTTGGGTTCAGTTGTAAAGCAAATTTCTGGGGAGATACAGTAGTTACTATGCTCTCTTAGAGGTGTAGGAATATTGTACATATTTGTTTACATGATCAATAAAATGTTCTGTTATTCATTAATAAAAATACTTTTATATTGTGTAAGACAAGGAACTGGACCCTTGTACTTCATAAGTATGCTGTGTTGATTATTTTTCAGGTGAGAGATCTTGATTCTTTGAAGGATGTTGTCATGACCCTTCTTCAGGACTGCTTGTGCAAGACCCTACTGTACAGAAGTACAGTACGGATATTTTCATTGACACTTCTTCCAGTTCTTTAAATTTCTTGTTTCAGCATGCACTTAACCCTCTGTTTCGCTTTCACATATGATGCCAATTCTTTTGCAACAAAGACCCTACTGTTATTCTGGATTTCAGCACTTCCCCCCTGCCATTATCATTCTGTCGTTTAACTACATGGAATATTCCTATGCGACTGTCATGTGTAGGTTTATACATTTCTAAAATCCCATACAACCCTTATTTTTTTTAAGACCACTTTGTCCTTATATATATATATATATATATTTTTTTTTTGCTTACATGTTTCCCTTAAAGAAGGCTGGTAGCAGCTCGCACCTTCTATGGAAGTGCTACTGAACAACTAGTTGATCCCCAACACCTTGAAGAAGTAGTTGATTTTCAAATACTATTCTTTACAATGGATACTTTTGCAAGGTTTAACATTGTTTCTATTAGCCCATAAAATCTTGAAGGGGTAATTTGGTAATTTCACTTCCATCATTATCCCATTAACTTATGAGGGACAAAGTGATGGAATCTAGAAGGACAGGGGAATCTTTGTCACAAAACAAAGTTTGGGGGGCTAAATGTCATGACACCATAAGTACAGGGTGGGTGTCTGAGCTACCCAAAAAATAAAACATAGGATACTTGAAAATAAAAAGTTTTTTAATGAGATTTCTGTTATCTATTAGCAAAAAATAAAATGAAGTTTTTGATTCATTAAAGAAAAAGAAAATCAGAATCAACTGTCTTATCCACCTAAGTGAGGTTGGCACCACAAAGATTGATCTAACAAAACTACACAAGTAATACTTTTGCAACAGCCACAACCTTGGCTGGACAAGTCCATGGAAAATCAAACTAAAATCATGCTCCTCATCCTGAGTACTATATGAAACTCAATATATGGAAGTAGCAACATATAAAATTTTTCCAAATAAAATTTGTTCACAGTAGAAATTGTAACAATAAGAGGTTTGGTTAAAGGGGTAAACCATCCAGCCATCCACCCCTACTGGAGCATATTTTGTACAAGTGTACAGTATATGTCTGCTTTCAATTGCAAATGCCCACATAAACTAGCTCAGAATTGTTTGAGTATTAGAAAAAAAATTGTCTATATTATCCCTCTTCTCTTTTTTTTCTTAGGCTGTGTTTGGTTGCAATGCAAATAAATTTGCACTGATGCAAAACCATGGCAGTGCAAATGGTTTGAGTGTAAATTCTGACCTATTTTTGTTTCAAATTTTAGCTTATTTTGTTTGATTGCAGTACAAATGAAGTAAATAAGGACATGAAGCAGAATAAAATAAAATCCAAAACAAAATTAAACAAAAATTTGCATTTATTACATTTGCACTCCATGCATTTGTACTAGTGCAAATAAATTTGCAAAGCAACCAAACACAGCCTTAGTGTTTTCTTTATCCATTTAGTTCTGATTGTTTCCAATTCACACCATACCCAATGTGTTGCCATCCCTTGGTATACAAAACTTACCCATTCAACTAGACTCTCATCTCCCAAGGGCTGAGACGCATCCACAGGTTTGCGACCAGTAATTAGCTCAAGAAGCACAACTCCAAAAGAGTACACATCTGACTTCTCAGTCAATTTGCCACTTGATGCATACTCTGGTGCCATGTATCTGGAAAAGCAACAAATGCCACTTGTTACATACATATAAACATGAACGAAAAAATACATGCTCATATACAACACTCTTACACATAGTAGAGAGCCCCATAAGAAGATAATATAATAAGATAAATTGCTAGTTTGCTACATAGTGCCTACCCAAAGGTTCCCATCACACGTGTAGTGACATGGGTGTATGTGTCCAGAGCTAACTTTGCAAGCCCAAAATCTGAAACCTGTCAATATGAGAAAAACAAGAATATGACAAATATGAATCACTTGCAAAGAGGAAAGTGATGGAAATATTGTCTGCCAAAAAAAAAAAAAAGCATACTTGAGCTTCAAAGTTATTATCTAAAAGAATGTTTGATGACTTAATATCCCTGTGAATAATGCGTGGGTGACCTGAAAAATACACAAAAGAACAATGTAAAAAGGACATATAGATGTCACAAATGAAAATGAACTTACAAGAAAATCATAAATTATTCTTCTAAGGAATTTTTTACATGGATTTCCCCCAAGATGCTACTAGTAAAGTACTCAATACTAGTGCTGTTCTTGTTGACTTGCTTCTTATTTTGTTTCCATAAAATTTATAAATTCCATTGCATTTATTCTAGCCTTGGGCCATGATTTTTTTTGGCACAATTCAAATAGCAATTTCTTTTTTATTGGGAAGACAGTCTCTACTACAGGGTGGTGACCATGCTAGCAGAAGTCGTTTTGCTCTTATGCCATCCCTGGGAACCCAGATCACTAAATAGCAGTATCAGGTGTAACAGACCCATAAATGTCCTGCCTGCAGTTATTAGAATGGAGGAGGAAGAATTTGATTCAGGTCCTTGGTATGTACACCAAGAGACTTTAACAATTATACCAGGGGGCAATGTGGAATAGAGCCTCCGTAACTGATTACTAACATATAACTTCATAAAGAAGTTCATATGTCTCATTCAAAATACAAAGCCTAACCCTCAAACTGGTGATGAAAGAATTTGGTCATGGGAGAGTTCAGGCAAGTTTTCAACTCAGTCTTTCTACAAATAACCTCTTTTTTTTTTATAAATCTTTCTACAATAACCTCTTGTCTAGGGAAAATGATTTCCCTGTGGCTTTAATCTGGAGCCCCCACATCCCATCAAAAATAGCCTTCCTGGTTTCGACTGCAGCTCTTGGCAGATGTTTAACTTCAGACCTGATCAAAAGTGGGATGCCTCTACCTAGTATTTTTGTGTCCTTTATGTAATGAGTTGCCTGAATCCTCCAATGACCTCATTGTAGCTTTTCTCACCAGTTGTGGGCAATGACATGGTCCTGTTTTGTTGTACAATGCGCACTTGAGTCAGTCTTTCAGCATCTACAGGGATGAGCAATCAAGGATTTGAACTGAAGGGGGGAAATTCCGAAATTGTTATGGAGGACTTTTCCAGCTGCCATATTGTGGCCTCTATGGAAGGAAGGAAATCTTTGCATTTTTTACAACAAATTTTCTGATTTAGACTCAGCTAAGAACAATCTTATAGGTTTACTATGTTCCTGGTTGAGTGTACAAAGGGCTTTTCATGGTGTCCAGCTTATCTCTTTTTAGCAAGCTGGACCTTTTTTGGGTGATTACTCAGGTTTTTTATATATTCCCAATGTACAGGCTCTCCTTGTACATGGGCCGACATAATTGGCTTTCGTTTTTAATACAATTCAATACTTTACCTACTTTAAAAAAAGTTCATATGTTGGAATATTAAGGTTCCTTTTACTAAAAACCAAGTGTTCTAGTTGTCCCTCATATGGGCACCATATTATAATTTGACAAAATATCAATTTTCAGGATAGTAATGATGCTTCAAGCTGATGACCAAAAAATCAACAAAAAAGAATATATCCATAGTGATAAAACTTTGATTTTCAAGTTTCTTGAGCTTTTTTATTGTATACATCCATGAACTATCTTTTATGTAAAGAATACTTGTGCTATGTCCAACTGACATGATTTCTTGGCATCCCTTACAGTTAGGTTGTCAATGAGTGGAGCGAGTTTGTCATACACTCATGCTTAAGCAAGCATGATAACAATTTTGGGCTTATGACCAAAAGGCCAAAGCCTCTATTGAGTTCATCTGGCCAAAACAACCAGGAGTAGGGCTGACATAATCTTTTCCCTGGTCTTGCTTATTATATTATATTTTACATAATTAATAATAGGTATATATAATCAATGTATGCTCCATTTATTTAGTGACCACACATTCTTGGGCCTAGGAGTGAGAGAGAGTAGACTACCATCCTTGGTTCAACAATTCATAACAAGGGAGAGATTGAGTAGAGATGGCAATTTGACCCGTCCCTGTGGGGCTCCACCCCACCCTGGTCTGGGTGGGTTTTTTTACCACTAGTCGGACTTTGGGGCAGGTTTCAAGGGAGCTTGGAACTCACAAATAAATAAATAAATAAATTTGCAAATAGGAATGACCGGGGTGGGATGGGGCAAATTTGGGGATCCTCGTTGCCCATGGGGACAAGGATGGGGTTGGGATTTCTAGCCCCGGTGGGGTTTGGTGGAGGGTGTTTGAGTTAAAGGTTGAGAACGAGGCATGCAAAACCCAGCCCCACCCCACCCCGTTGCTATTCTTAAATTGAGGAGGATCTTACCCAAAGAATTAGAGTAGGATGGGCAAAATGGAGGGGTGCATATGAAATTTTATGTGATAGGCAAATATCACTTGGGTTAAAAGGAAAATTCTATATAATTGTAAGGCCAGCTATGTTGTATGGAGCAGAGTGTTAAGCAGTTGAGAAACAACATGTCCAGAAAATGAATGTGGTAGAATGCTAAGATGGATGAGTGGAAACACTAGAAACGATAGGATTAGAAATTAAGCAATCCGTAGGAGCCTAGAAGTAGCTCCAATAGGTGATAAAATGGGAGAGACTAGACTAAGATGGTTTGGGCATGTTCATAGAAGACCACCAATTGCACTAGTTAGAAGAAGTGATTTGTTACACACTGAAGGGGCTAGAAGAGCTTGGGGTAGACCAAAACAGACATGGGTAGAAGTAGTAAGAAATGATTTAACCACTAATAATTTAAAGTGGATATGGATTAAATGGAACAGATTGGCAAAGCAGGAATCATGTAGCCGACCCCATATAGATAAGGCGATGATGACACTTTTGGGCCTACAATTGTTGACTTTATAGGATTCTAAAATCTCAGCTCTTGGTTTGACAGTGCAAGAGAAGCTGGATATAACTTGCCTCAGCTTGGCTGGTTGGTTGGATTAATTCCACAGGGTATTATTGTGCATTCATGTAGTAAGCTCACTTTATCTCTGTAATGAGTGTGGTGAAAATACAATAAAAAGATAAACTAACTAAATTTAAAGCAACAAGAAAAATAATTACAGTCTTCATGCAGGTAAGCAATTCCGCGAGCTGCACCAGCAGAAACCTTAATTCTGGTCGCCCATTCCATAACTGGCCTCCCTTCCCCTACAATATGTAGAACAGAGCAAAGAAGATTGTTTAACTCTTGTGCATGAATGAACTCAAGAAAGCTAAACAGTACAACTTACCATGCAGATGGTAATGAAGAGTGTTGTTCGGGACATAATCATAAACCAGCAATCTCTGACTCTCTGATATGCAGTAGCCAACCAGTGAAACCAAATGGCGATGGTGTACACGGCTAATAATTTCAACTTCAGCTCTGAATTCACGCTCTCCTTGTCCACCACCATCCTTGAGCTGTTTCACAGCCACCTCTCTTCCATCTGGCAGGTAACCTTTGTACACACAACCAAATCCACCTTCGCCCAAAAGATTATGTGGGGAAAAACCATTTGTGGCCTCTACTAGTTCTGAATATGTGAACCATGACTTTGAATTGCTCAAACCACCTGGCTCCGTTGGTGAATACATAAAACCACTGCTAGAGCCACTTCCTACAAGTGGAGCTGAAGAATGGGCCTTTAAAATGTATGAATCTGAAGAAGAGATGCAGGCCTAGTTAACTTTAATTGCATGGCCTTCAAGTGCATAGAAAAAAGAAAAAACTATTCAAGTAAAGTTTAAAAGCTTTATCAAGAAAATATTGCCTAACCTCTTGTTTAATTATTTTAATTATAAAAAGATTCACAATGTACCAATTCGATAGTATATGTATGGATATCAGATATTGAGAGAATGGTTATACACCAAATACCAATGTTATTATCCCACTAATGGTTATACACCAGATTTTGAACTGAATCTAACTTAAGCCACCTAATAAGAAAAGCTAAATAAAAGCACCCAAAATTTGAAGGGCTGGATGACAGTTGAGTTATCCATAAGATAAATACTTGTAAAGAACAATTGAATGTTTAAAGCACTACCCGACTTCGGGGAAGAGGCTGCTGGCGAAGGCATGATATAGCCACCATTATATCCAACACTTTTCTTCTTTTGCTTCTTTACACACCAGACGGCTATTCCAATCAGAGCAAGAACTATAAAGCCTGCTACAACACTAATTGCCACTACAGCACGAGGTGAGATGGAGTGTGATGCATTTGTAGGATCAGTTGGAGAAGATTGTGAGGGAAGTGAAGGATTTTGAGGAGTAGATGAATTACTAGGAGGAGGAGGAGGAGGAGGAGGAGGAGAAAAAGAAGAAGAAGAAGGGGGCGAGGGAGGTGGTGGAGTGGCAACTGGTGGCTCACTGGGTGATGGTGACGATGGGGCTGGAGGAGACTTTGGGGATGGTGGAGGTGCCGGTTGAGAACCAGGAGGAGGGGGTGCATGCCTTCGAGGTGGAGGGGGAGGTGGAGGTGAACCTGCAGGAGGTTCTGTCGACGGTGTTGGGGGAGAATTGGAGGGCGATGGGGGCGGAACAGTGGCCGAAGGAGGAGGAGGAGGAGGAGGAGAGACAACTGCTGGCGGCGGAGAAGGTGAGACTGCTTGAGGTGGAGGCGGTGATGCTGCAGGTGGCAAAGGGGAAACTGGGGGAGGAGGAGAACCTGCAGGAGGAGGTGGAGAGGGAACCACAACGGGAGGTGGAGGGGATACTACTGGGGAGGGTGATGAAGGCACAGCCGGTGGTGGGGAGACTGCAGGAGGAGAAGGTGGCGGTGCTGGAGGGGGAGCAGTAGGAGTTGGCGGTGGGGGCGATGGTGTAGCGGGAGGAGGAACGGTAGTAGCAGGCGGGGGAGGGGATTGAACTGGTGGAGTTGTGGGAACCGGTGAGCCCGGAGTGGCATTGGGCCGAGTCACTGAGGGAGATTCCGCAGCCGTTGACGGGGAAGGTGGTGGGCTAGTAGCCGAAGCCGGCGGAACTGCAGCAGGAGGAGAATTTGAAACAGGTGACGCCATCTCTACCGAAATTTCGCTCTATGATCAAAAGATCCAAACCTAGAATTCCCACTCAGATGAAATTGTACAATCAATTATACCCAAACCTCAAAGCTTTCCCGAGGACTTCATAAACCACAATGTCTCTACAGAAAAAACTCAAACATTGGAAGCAGTCTCCTCTGAACTGAAGCCAGTGATCAATCCCTTCTCTTTTCCAAAATCCAAATCTCCGCACTAGATAATAGATCTCTCACTCGGCAATAACTTGGCCAATCAAAACCCCATATCTATAATCACTCTATGTCACTGAGAGACTTTGAAACTGAAAAGCAAAACTGCAAAACCCAGATCACGAGAGCGTTTCCAGTGAAAACAGAAAACTCAGATCACCAAATACTTTTCTGAGCACAAGCGAGTTCATCCAAATTTACAGAAACTTGCAAGAACAAATGCATTATACCCAGCTTACCAAAATGAGCAAAGACAAAAACCCCACATGCTTAAATCCCAAATTCCTACCTATTTCCTTGCATATCTCCTAATTGTTCAGTGGTTTTCTCATGCCCAAATCGCAATCAATTGAACTTAGGGGTTACGGAGTGAAAGCTTGAATTCCAGTTAGTCCTTCCCCACGCCCACGAAGCTTCAAAGTTCTTCTCCACCAAAATAAAAGTTAAAATCTCAGAGGAGGCACGCGAAAAAGAGAGGGAGTCCAAAAGAAAACGCGACAGCGTGAGAACAACTTCAGGCTAATTTTCTTCCCACCCAACGAGAGAGCGTCGGATATAATATACATCATCACATCATTGTATACTTACATTACACAGAGAGATATTGCTCGGCCCTATTTCCCTCTTCATCAACTCATCAAAATATATTTCTATAAAGTCAAGAAAAGCAACACCTGACGTTCAAGTTCCTGTTCCTATGGTCAGCGCTCTCAAAATCAGGATCTGCTTAAATTTAAATAAATGGGGAAATGAAAAATCCATTTTTTCAAGTTTTTATAGGAAAAACCGAAAATGATCTTCCTTGGTTCCAATTTCCCACCCACCTCCGCAGGTTGAGGGTTCATAGTTTAATGTAATTCTTCTGAACGTATTTCCCGACTTTTTCGGTTTAGAGTCGTGAGCTTGACTCACTAATTATTCGAATTGCTACGTGCGAACACAGCCTGTGAAATTCCGGGTATAAATTAGAGAATACTGTAAAAATTTTGCAGAATGAAAGAAGCAGACCAACAGAGAAAGAAGGATACCGAATACGACGCGTGATCTTTGTTCCGTGTTGATCCATTTATTACATGATGATGCGGTTTTACCCTTTCTGGTACAGACTACGGACTACAGACCTTGTTTGAGGGAGTCCTCTACGCGTGACGATCTTTGACGTTGGTGCGTAAAATCAGATGCCAGGTGGCAAGTAGGTGGTCCCGGCGAATGGTAGTGGGTCCCATATTCTGATTCTGTGTCGCAATACGAAACAATACCAAAAATTAAAATAAAATCAAAATTACCAAAACAAAAGAAAGAAAAGAGATACAATTGCCATTTGCTAATCTAATGGATTGTAAATGCTTTGACCAGTTTGGCCAATATTCAGCTCAACATTTAATTAGTAATAGTGATCGTTGAATAGGATCTTGAGGAACCAGAAAAACCCAAATCCATATAGGACAGGAAAATGGTCCTTAACGGTTACCCTCTTCCACTGCTCGGACCCCTCGACAGTTATCCTTCTACCATCCCTCATCTCCGGCGATCAAGATTCGTCGATTTTAGGATAATCTAATTTTACCCATTGGGTTTTTTTTTTAACCTGGATTTAAATATTGAATATTATTATTAATAAATCAAATAGTGAATGTTATTAATAAACAATCCAATTGAGTCATATCAGATGGTGTCACGGTGGATCCACATTCATTGTATCAACCCGCTCCATTTTGTAGCCTTTAGAAACTCGACACAAGAATCCACCTTCACTGACATGTCCGTGTCTGTTTTGAGGTCGGGTTGGATTGAATGTCCATGGTTGACAATAGGGACCAGTTTTTCAACTGGGTTGGGATGGCCATACCCATAAGATCCAAATATCCATCATTTGGAGAAGGGATTCTTGGGCCAATAATGCTCAGGTCGAACTGCAACCAGGCATTGGGATAACAATTAAAAAGTGCTGGCCCATTAGGGCATGTTCGGAAGTCTGCATTTAGCAGGCAAATGGAAAGAAACTGAGAATCCGAACCGGATTGATTATTGAAGCATATCAGAATCAAACCGACTTTGGATTACCCAACCCGGTAACTGTTAAAAAAGTGGACTAGGGGACTAGGGGAGCGAGTGCATTCAGGCGGGTTTGATTTACGGGTCAATAATTATAGTCCTATCATCAAAAGTTGTTGATGAATGCAAAGCATCCGATCGAGTTGGAGATGATAAGATTGACCCAAGAATGATCATAGAGCTGTAGCCCATGAAAGTGTGGGCCACCGGATGATCATTAACCCAAGAATATACAATTGAGTGTTCTCTGAATTTCTTGATCCACTTATCTTTACCATGTTAGTTGTTAGTGGACTGAATTTTGTTGGTGGGGATGTCTGCATTTAGCAGGCAACATCTAAAAGTGGTCTGTTCATAGACATTAATCACTGTCTAGCAACCAGATAAGGGTGATACACTGATACCAATCTGATGGTTGACCAATATAATGGTTGACCGTTGACCAATATAATCAAACAAACTTATTATAGGCCTGAGGCCCATGATCTTCCATGTGTGACTGTTTTGTTGCATGAGGATGGTTGACCATTAGTGATGCCAATCTGATGGTTCAGAAAAGATGCTCAACAGACAGAGAGAGAGAGAGAGAGGGACCCACCAAGCCATTACCGGGTGAATGGGGGCCCAAATTGTGAGTGACCGAGTGGGGACCGTCTACCTAGAAAGAACCACCCCAATCGGCCCAATCCCTAGTAGCTACTAGCCGGTAGTAAGAAAAAGGAGAATTGAGAGAGGGCAAAAGTGCCAACTGGCAAGAGCCAATCCAAGTGGGTAGGTCAAGCCAAGGCCACCAAATTTGTACATAAGCTGAAGTCACATGTTTTCCACAGCCAGGGCCCATGTGTCCCCACACACGTGAGGTTGGCAGCCATGTAAAGAGGATTGTTTGTTTTGATGGAAACACTCTCTGCTCCAATTCCACCCTGGGACGTACTTCAAATTCTCTTTCCAATTCCCTCACTATTAAGTATTAATAAATAAATACCGCCTAATCTCTCTCTCTGACGAATTTGGGGTGAGGATAGCAGCTCCATTTCTTTTCCTAGCTCTCTATAATGCACGCACGTGACAAGCAAAAGTGATTAATTGCAATAAGCCAAAAAAAAGCTAGGTAGCCCTAATAGGATCAACTTGTCTTCTTTTAAAAATGACTTCAGATGACAGAATTTAGATGGGGAGATAAATAATTGAAGTGGGCACCTGCTGTTTGTTCCCAGTCCCAGCTGAGCCTCAGACCTATAACTTAAGCTTGCATTAACCTCCTTTTAAATATAGCTAGAGAATATGAAAAAGTGAAAGAAACTAAGCAACATAAAAAAAGAAAAAGAAAAAGGTGACTGTTTGTTTTCTTTGTTACATTGATTAGCAAGAAGAACAAAAGTATAAAATGACACATGGTGGTGGGCTCCATCTACCCATTTAGAACTTTTCTTTGCATTTTCAAATTGTTTTGAAAGGAATTAAGAGAAAAAACTTTTAGAATCAAGAAAGTTGTTGCAGTTTAGTTTTGCTAATGGAAGTTGACCATGCAAATTTTTATAAAAGTTCAATTCAGAATCCCGGATTGCCTAGAATATTTTACCAAGCTGACTAACAAGTAGCTATCAAAACTCAAAAGAAAAGCTGGGGAGCAAGAGTTTTCCCCCCTTAACTGCTTCAACAATTGATTTTCCCCTAATTGATGCAACAGTTTAACTTTCAATAGAAAAAAAGGTAGCTAGCCATTAATTAAGCATCGAGTTTCAAGAATAGATAACAGAGGCGCGGCTAAGAAAACTTTCTTATATTATATCTATAAAGTAAAAATATAAGTTTATATTTTTTGTTAGACTATGATACCAGAAAAAACTTTCCTTTAACCAATCAATGGTATCATAAAAGAGATAACGAATCAAGTGGTATTTATCAAAACTCAGGAGTAGGGGAGTTTATTTGGTGAAAACCCTTCAAGTATTATGTTTTGTATATACTGTCAGCCTTACTTTTCGACCCTAATACCAAACCAGCAATAGCTGTTTAAGGTTTGGAAGACAACAACTGAAGCATTCTCTCTCTCTCTCTCATCCCTGTGGGGGTGTGATACTGTACAACTGTTACTCCAGACCTAATTAATGGATTAGTGGGGTTAGTAGCAAGGTGCACACAGGCCCACTGGTAAGTGTGGAGTGTGGAGCCTGCCTTTCCGCAGATTGAACGACCCATGCCTCCCATTATTAGGGATGCCTTATGACCAACTTGACAACCAATGAATCGGCATTTTTGTCTTCCCTAGAGCCTCCTTCTCTGGCATTTAAATGATTTAAACTGAGCATCTATTCACAACTTCAACAACCCTCAACAGACTGGTCAGAACAACAAAATAACTTCCTCAACAGTCTTTGGTCAAAGAACCCTCTTAGCAAAGTAAATGTGAAATGCCCTCTCTCCTCTCCCAACCATTTATTTTCTTGAGTTAATTTAACATGAAATCCCCATCTGTTTGCAAGAAAACAGGTCTGGGATTCACTACAATCATGTTCATGAACCTCCCAAGGAGAATGGTAGGGCCTCTGTGCAAGTGTAGCCAAGTAGCCAACTCAATTATTCACCGATCTGCTTGGTTGTCTGAATTATAAGGCTGCAATAGGGTGTTGGGTCTGAGATATCTTTTCCCCATTCCCATTGTATCCGTTCTAAACAAGTTTGGAGCTTCCAAGAGGAATCATATTTCAACATGGGCCACTTTCGGGTTCAATCATCGATGGGTAGATCCAAATTATACTTGGTTTGGATCCCATTTTATGCTTTTTTTCCCTTCAGAAACACAAAATACTCCGCTCAAATTCATAAATTATATGCATACATGAACATATAGTCCAGGCTTGGATCTAGAAACATATACATATCCAATGCCTGTTTAGCCAGATTAACTCCATTCTGACTAGGGTGGTAAGCCGGGCGGGTTGGACCAGGTTTATGGTCAACCCAGGCCTAGCCTTAAAATTTGGGCTTAAGGTCGGAGCCCAAGGTCAAGTCCGACTTTTCCAACCCAAGTCTAGCCTGTCCTATAATTTGATGCATTCGGGTTGGACTCGGGTTGGTTAATTAACCCACTCTAAAATTATACATTTATAAATGTATTTATGCAAATATATATATATATATATATATATATATATATATATATAT